TCGTACAACAACAGTTATCATGATAGTATCGATAGAGCTCCTTTTGAGATGTTGTATGGTCGGAGGTGCAGAACCCCAATATGCTAGAACGAGGTTGGACATCGGGTGATAGGGAGCACGAAAGTGGTACTCAAGACCACCAGGTTGATCCAGCAAGTGGGCGATCGGTTGCGAGTCGCGTAGAGCCGTTAGAAGAGTTATGCTGATCGGTGGCGATCGGACCTTGAGTTTCTGGTGGGGGATTTTGTGTTGTTGAAGGTGTCACCGTGGAAAGGGATTATCAGGTTTCGTAAGAGAGGCAAGTTGTGGGCTCGGTTCATAAGCCCATTCAAGATCATAGCCCGGGTGGGCAAGGTAGCCTATCGTTTAGAACTTCCAGAGGAGCTTAGTCAGATTCACAACACCTTCCATGTCTCTCAGCTTCGGAAGTGTGTTGTTGACGAGTCCGCGATTGTATCCTTGGATGATATTCAGGTGGATGGGGCCTGAATTATGTCGAGATACCGATTTCCATACTAGACAGGAAGGTGAAGGGTCTTCGGAACAAGGAGGTGAAATTGGTAAAGGTGCAATAGCAGCACCGGAAGGGCCCATAATCAACTTGGGAGCCAGAGGAGGAGATGCGGGAGCACTACTCGGAATTTTTTTTAGCCGTAGACTTCAAGGACAAAGTCTAATTCAAGTGGGGAGAGTTGTTACATCCAAAAATGTATGGTATGTCTTGAAACCTTTTAGAGTTATAATTATTGCATAAATAGTCCCTTAATTACGCTGGACGTACTTAAGTGTACGCTTAGCGTACTAAGTCCTTTTGGTCGCGGATGATTGAAGGTACGCTGGGCGTACCTTGAGTTACGCTGTGCGTACGCGCCAGGGATCAAAAACCCTAATTCTTGGACTTAAGGCCTATATAAACAACCTTAAGCTCCTTGGACTGAACCCTAGAGATCCTCCCCTATCCTAGAACGTCATTTCACTCCTGGAAACCTTGAGAGATCACCTTTGAGCCTTAAAAGTGTGCATTTGTAGCCTTTAGTGTCCATTTCAAGAATAATAGTTGGTCAAGAAGGCTTGGATCAAGTGGGAGCTTCAAGATCTTGTCTCATAATCATCTTTTAGAGCCTCTAGAGGTAAAAAGCTTACATCTTTCCTTTTTATTCTTTAGATCTAGCTAGGGTTTTGAAGTTAGTCCCTTTTGATGAACTTTGAACCTCTTTTGGTCGAGTTGAACCCCCCATTTGATAAGAAAGTCAGATCTAGAGTCCCTTGGTCATCTAAAAGCATAAAAACAAGATCTTGGTGGAAGTATTGGTCTTGTGCATGAGCTAGGGGCCACAGAAAGGTCCTAATGATGGTTTTGGAGGAATAAGGGGAATGCAAAGACATAAAGTTAGCAACTTTATGCCTTAGGACGTGTTAAGCAACTCAGGTATAGCTTTTGGACGTAAAAGAATAGGATATTAAGCACTTAATGGAGAAAGTGCTTAACTCGGACGTATGCCGTGTGTACTCAGTGTACGCTGCGCGTAACCTTTAAAACCCAGTACGTTGCGCGTACCAGAAAGGTACGTTGAGCGTACGCATGCCAGATGGGCTGTTTCTATTTTGGGTTGGCAAACTTTTGGGCCTCAACTTGGTTATTGGGTCGACTGCACTTTGTGAAATATGGACTATGACTCTGGATTTGGGCCATGGACTTTGGGTGGGCCTTATTGGGCCAAAAGGACCATTAATGACCTTAGACTAGGACTTTGGGGCCATTAGCAAAGGAAGGGTATTTTGGGCCTCACGGAAGGATGTGGGTTTGGGTTTTCCTGGATTAATTTAAGATCCTAACATTTATTAATACAAATTGTCCAGTTCGAGAGGTTGCAGACTGTTAGGAGAGCAACTTGTGTGTTCAGCAGACTGAGGTGAGTCTTCTCACCACACCCATGGGTCTACGGCACCAAGGCCGACCCATTATGTGTTTATGGTATATGTGTAGTCACTCTATGATTTGATATGATATGTGATTGCGTGTTTTGCATGAAGACTCTGGGGGAGCCCGTGACATTGGATGTAAGACCATGTGGGGTAGCCCATGACAATCCTAGGTAAAGATAATGTGGGGTAGCCCATGACATTGGATATAAGACCATGTGGGATAGCCCATGATAGTCCTAGGTAAAGACCATGTGGGGTAGCCCATGACATTCTTGCGGGTTTTATGTATGCATGGCTTATGTGATGTGTGTGTAGCTTGATTAGCTACTAGGATATATGTATGCGTGGTGTGTGGTGTGCTTTGGGGAACTCACTAAGCATTTCGCTTACAGGTTATTGAATTGTTTCAGGTACATCGGAACCCAAGGGCAAGGGTAAGGCGTGATGGCGCGACGTGCACTCTATTTTTTTTTTTTATAATATGTTTGGGGACACTCTGATGATTTATATAATGTAATGGATGACGTTTTTAAACTAAATGTGGAATCTTCTGGTTTTATGCAAATGTGGTTATTAAATTAAATGAAAAATTTTCTTGGAAATTTTGGTCGTTACACAAGATATATAAATAACTTATAAAATCATACTTTATGACATAGTTTATAAGTTGTTATTTATCCAATAAATATTATTTTTCATAAAAAATAATATTCCAATTAGTAAAATGTTATTTTCATAAAATAATAAATTTCCAATTAAATACAAATGTTGATTATATTTATTAATAACTGAATTATTAATAAATTAGGTGTGAAACCCGTGTATTACACGGGTTGATTAAAAAAATATATCAAAGTTTAAATATTGAGAACTTTTTAAAATAAAATTTCAAAATAAATAGACATATTCAACTAATGAATAAATAGAATCACTATTGAGAGATCATCCATAATATCAATGATTGTTTTGTCATATTCTTAAATTTATTATCATGTTCAGTGTGTTTTAATATATCTTATATGTTTTTTAAGATTCTTTTCATTTATTATCACATTAAATATATTTAATATTTTACATATATAAATTTAGTATTATGTGGCATATTAATGGATATAATTAAAAAAACCATAAAATGACATGTGGATTTAAATTTAATCAAAAAATTTACAAAATTACATGTGGCAGATATAATAAGAAGATGACATTTGACAAAATGATCTTCATTTATTAGGATAAAGATGATCAATTAGTAGCAATTTGATAAATATGTGACCTTATATGATCATATATTATTAAATATCATTCAATGATGATTTTTGAGTATATAGATCCAACATATTCACCACATACTCTCTATCTTTCCTCACTTTCTCATCTTCATTGTTACTAACCAATAGATATGATCTTATATAATGAATCCAAAATATTTCAAAATATATAGCTTGCATATTTTACATAGACTCTTAATGCAAAAAGGAGGTATCAATGTTGAAAATTGTTGACGACTTACGGATGGACGATATCGTTATGTTGGCGGGGTAGATGGGGGATGGTAACACCATGAAAACGAATCCGACGACCATAGGGTATCACTGGAATGAAGTCAGCGGCTACCACTCAAGTGAAGTCACACTGGTTAGTTAACCCGTGGGCATCTCTCTCTCTCTAACAAACACATACACACATTTTTTTATATAAATTGTATGAATTTAATGTTAGTATCAAACATAATCAATCTTTTGTTTTATTCTGCATTAATTTTATAGTTTACGAATTAGTTTTGTATGTTTTTTAATTAGTTTGTATAAATATATATAAATTTTTTTTTCATATCTTGTGATGAAAAAATCATATCATGATGATTTGTCATCTTTTCACAATATGGATTATATGAAAAAATAAAAATTTAATGCCTTTGATATCTGATTAAATTAAAGTTTTATAATTAGTATAATTTTTTTTAATAAAATAAATAAATTAATGTCTATTTTTTTCTTTTTCTTTTTAGTTTGAATTCAATTAAATAATTACTTATACTTTTCATTAGTTTTTATGTTTATTACTTAACTAGTTTTTTGTTAACTTTCTTTTATTATTACGGTCATGTTTGTTTTTTGAAAAAAACCTCTTCAGATCTCTTATTGCTGCGCGGTGCAGCACACGCGCAACACTTTTAATTTTGCAACCGTTTGTTTTTCAGAAGTCTTCGGCGCATCACTTGTTTTGTCTTTTCCTACCTCTTCCAACATCTTTTTCTTTTCATGCTAAAATATTGATTATATATTTCTGAAATCTTATTTCATATTTTTTTTTTCGTTTTTTTTGTTTATTCTTGTTGATTTTTTTTATATTGAATAAAAATAATTTGTTGATAAAATATCATTATTTGTTGTTAAAATATCATTATTTTTGCTGAAATATCATAAAATTTGCCTAAATTTTATACATTATTAAATTATTGGTACTAAAAAAATATTTTCAGATTATAAAATCAGTTTATTTTAATTTTTTAATATTTACAACAGTATGTAGAAGTTAAAAAAACAAATACGCTTCTTATTACAGTCTGCAGCCCGTTTGGTCCACCTCTTCTACTGCAGAAGGTTGCAGAGGTGGTCCGTAAATTTTATGGATTTTTGCTTAAAAAAACAAACACCACCTAAATTATGTATGATGTTTTAAATATAATATTGTTATTTTAACTAAAAAATAAAAGGAAATGAAGTGTGACGGAAGGGAAAAGAGTAAATTATTGAAATCGTTCTTGTGGTTTGGTCAAAATTGCACGTTTGGTCCTTAACTTTTTTTTTTGCACTCGGATCGTCCCTGTGGTTTGATTTTGTTGCGTTTTTCGTCTTTATGGTTTGGTAAAAATTGCATGTTTGGTCCCTAACTTTATATATGTAAGGAATGAAAAATGCAACAAAATCAAACCATAAGGACGAAAAACGTAACAAAATTAACCACAGGGGACGATCCGAATGCAAAAAAAAAAATTAAGGATCAAACATACAATTTTGATCAAATCACAAATTTACTCAATGGAAAATAAAGGAAAATTGAGACAACAAAAAGAAAAATTGAAATGTGAACTTGGTTTGGCTGACTCCTTTCCTTAAGCCTCTGTATATTGAGGAGTGCCCTTCGATGAAAATCGACGGATGAGATACAACTTTCTGCAGTGCAGGCGATTTATTTCTCCACGCATACTGACTGGATTCTGGAAGAAGAAAACACAATCCAATCGCATATCAACTTTTGTTCCATGAAAAATTCAGAATACTTATCAATAAATTTCGATCGGAACGTATCAGATTTTTATAGAAAGCTCGATCGGGGAACAACTCCGTAGATCACGCAGGTATGAAGTTTCATTCCAATTATTGTCCCTAAAATTTTGAGCATAATTGATCGAACTTTACATCCATGTGTACCGGAAAGTAAATCAAATGCTTCTATATCCTTCAACATTATCGCGAGCAACTGACGAGTTCTCGTTTTGATTTGTACATAAGGTACATAAATAAGTTGGGTGTCTCTTTTGATTTCTATTATAATTTCGGAAATAGCTGACATTTGCTGTCACCAATGGTTTAACAATTTTGATTGGTTGCCATGAGAAAGATAATTATGTCGTACGATTCTTAAGAATTCATTAACATTTTGTGTTTATGAAGGTTTTTGTGTGATTAGGGCATCCAGCGCATCAGGGAAATGTTGCTGTGGTGGTGGTCTTCGAGTTAAAATATGGAGAAGAAAAGAGTGGATGAGAGTGTGCAAGTAGCAGCTTCAGGAAGAGTAGACAGATTCGGGTTTGTAAAACAGGAACATAACTCGCCTGATGGGCCATCTAGAAACAAGTCGGCTTTGGAGTATCAGAGGTAATGCAGGTTTACGTTATAACCACTGATTTCTAGTAGATCAAATTAATCTACCGATACTGATTTACTGTTATTACATCTACTGCATATTTTATCATTTTCTACTCAAACTTTTGAAGTCAAAAAGTAATGTAGACCTCTAAAATCAATCAGGATTGATCCCTGTTTTATGCTGTATTAAATGAATGAAGCAATTAACAGGGAACAGAAACGACTTAAAAAATGGAGGAAAATGATTGGTGTTGGAGGTAGTGATTGGAAGCATTATGTAAGAAGGAAAGGACATGTTGTTAAACGGCGTATACGGAAAGGAATCCCTGATTGTTTGAGGGGTCTTGTTTGGCAATTGATTTCTGGAAGCCGGGATCTCTTGCTGATGAACCCTGGTGTTTATGAGGTATTCCCAATTCTTCATTTTTCTTGTTACAATTTACAAATAAATGAAAGACTAGAAGTGAAAATTATTTTCTTTTGTTGCAGCAACTGGTGATATACGAGACATCAGCTTCTGAGCTAGATATAATACGCGATATTTCACGCACTTTTCCATCACATGTGTTCTACCAGCAACGACATGGACCTGGTCAAAGATCACTTTACAATGTTTTAAAGGCCTACTCTGTATACGACAGGGAGGTTGGATATGTACAGGTAAATAAACACAATAATACAATATAATTCAATAATTCACATTACATTTTGACCATTTTTAACAACATTTACTCACACTCACTACAGGGAATGGGGTATTTAGCTGGTCTTCTACTGCTTTACATGAGTGAGGAAGATGCATTTTGGCTGGTGGTGGCATTACTGAAAGGAGCAGTTCATGCTCCAATGGAAGGATTATATTTGGTAAGTTTTTACCTTACCAACAAATTTATTTTTGGGTTTTAACTTTTAAATAATAATTATTAATTAAGTTTTGTGGTGCAGGAGGGATTGCCACTGGTTCAACAATATTTGTTTCAGTTTGATCGTTTGATGAGGGAGTACATGCCCAAGTTAGGAGAGCACTTCACAGAAGAAATGATAAATCCAAGCATGTATGGAAGCCAGTGGTTTATTACTGTTTTCTCATATTCTTTCCCCTTTCATCTGGCTCTTCGAATTTGGGATGTTTTTCTTTATGAGGTTAGTGGCATACAACATACATATACATTTAAAAAAGATTATATTTTTCTTTGGAAAAAATTACCTGGCTTTTGTATGTTCAGGGTGTTAAGATTGTTTTCAAAGTTGGCCTAGCTCTGCTCAAATATTGCCATGATGACTTGGTGTGTGGCTTTGAAATTTGGTGGAAAATAATATTTATATTTTATTTTGACTAAAATATAAAGATGGTGTTATTATTTGTGTAGGTGAAATTACCATTTGAGAAGCTTATACATGCTCTTCGTAACTTCCCTGAAGATGCAATGAATCCAGATACATTGCTTCCAATGGCCTACTCATTTAAGGTGCTTAAAATATTGACTTTTGTTGTTTACATGTTGTGTTTTTTGTTCATGGAGCATTTTATATATAATGTGTTTCATATGTGTGATGTTTTTAAGGTATCAAAGCGACTGGAGGAACTTAAACAGGAGTATGAGAAGATACATGGGAAGGTAGCAGAATCTAAGTCGAAGCAAAAACAGCTGCAGCTGGCTTGAGCAACAAAAACAGTGCATACTGCATACGTATTATTTTGTAAATATCCATATACGATATTTCTGAGAATGATTATCTACACTAGTTTTTTCTTTGTAACTAAGGCATTAGAATCTTGAAATGTTGATAGTGTAGTTTGAGAAATCATTGGATTTTGAGTGGTATTTTTTCATGTTTGCAAGTGAAGCTTTCAGCTTCGATGACATTTTTCATACTAAATGGTGAAGAGAATACTGTATATATTTGATTTCTTATTTTATCTGGTAATAACAAAAATAAAACAGAAAAATAGCAAATTTAACAAATATGTCACACTTGCTGACATGGGAAATTAAATAACAAGAATAAATATATTTTTCAAACAGAATATGTATTACCCTCAAATGGAGAGGATTTTTGTACATCAAGAAAAAGTGATTAGAAGAATTTAAAGTTTTCTGAGTGCGGGCATCCTTGAGAAAATGCTGCCTCCTGCACATATGAAGGGAATGGTCATTATATTATAGTACAGTACTAGGTGTACAAAAAATATTTTTTAATGTGCAACTTTAAAATAAGAAAAGAAGAAATGTATTTATTGCAATTTAATATCATATATATGATATTTAATACTTTACATATATAAGTATAAGATTTTAATTTTAAAAATTGAAACAAATAAAAAATTGACAAGTGGATAATATTTATTTCAAAAATACCACAAAATGATAAGTGTTAAAACTAATGAGAGATTGATATGTGTCAAAAAAAACTTTCATTTATTAAGGAGAATATGATGAGAAAACTATCATAAATTTATTTATATATATATATATATATATATATATATATATATATATATATATATATATATATATATATATATATATATATATATATATATATAGGCTCATGTTATTTTGTTTTTACTAAGTATTGTGTGCCAGAATGCACAGATCTAGACCAATTGATGAAATTAATCAATGGACATGATTTGAGAGTGTATGATATTTCAATGAGGTAACATGTAGGATATAATCAAATAATTTTAAGTAAAATGGTATTTTGGACAATTAACTATATTTATAAAAGGAAATTTTTGGATTTTTAGGGATGATTAATTATCCTAATTTAAAAAAATATGAATTTTTTAATTAATTCAATTTCAAATTTTTACCAATTTTATTCTGTCAGAATATTTTTTGTTAGAATGATGCTCTTTTAGAATTTTATTATAATAGAATATTATTTTGTTAGAATGATGCTCTTTCAGAATTTTATTCTAATAGAATATTATTGAAGAATAACATAATTTTTGAATTAAATGTTGAAAAATAACAAACATTATAATATATTCTTATACATCCGAACTTAAATACAAATTCATACATATTCTTATAGACTAAAATATTTATACATTTTAATATAATTATACATATTCTAAAAGAATATCAATATCTTCAACGCCTTCTTCCAGCCATTCCTATCACAAGTACAACAAAAACTAATAATTGTTAAAAACATGTTACTTGCAATTAACTATCACTTAATATATTCTGGTAGAATACATAGAATATGACAGAATACATATAATACATTCTAGCAGAATACATCGATTTTATTCCAGTAGAATACATTTTGATAGAATATATAGAATACGTTCAAAAGTATTGTATTTACTGCTAGTAATTCTGACAGGATGCATACCACAAGGTTAAATTCTTTAAATTCTCTTTCAGACATTTCAACAAACACTTGTTAGACATTATCATCAAACAAGCCAAAAACCATATTTGATTTACTTGCAATAGTTTACCTATAAACAGAATTTCCAGCAACATGATTTAGAATGCATACCACAAGGTTCAAAGAGTAAATTAATTTGTGTTGATGAAAAATAAAAAGGTACAAACAACCTAGAATTGTATTCCATAACCGAAAGAAAAAAAATATATGGCACACAGGTCTAGCCGTTTTTACCAAAAAGTAAGATGATACAAAGATAAACACCTAAATTTAATATCAATTTCAGCCCAAAATTGTTTGCACCTCTATAGAAAAAGATATGTAAAAGGAAAACAAAACTTAGATAAATATAGAAATAGAAGAAGTAAAGGGAAAAGAATAAAATAGAAACACGAACCATGCCTCACAAAGGAGCATCCATCTTTCTTGTAGATGCCATATAACACCCCGTTAGTATTTTCTGCAACAACGGAGTCATATCAAACATTTACTCCTAGAAACCATAATTATCAATAAACTAATCAATCCAAAATATAAATATTAGGGCAAAATTCAACGATACAAATAGATTACCTCGGCTCTTCGTATATTGATATTATCTTGAACTTTTTAAGGATTTTGATTTACTATTGAAATCAATGAAGAATAAATGGATTTTAATAAGCGTTCCAATGAAATTGAGATATCCAAGAATTCAAACTGCGCGAAATCTGATCACTATCGTCTCCTCCTCTTCTGGTCTTGGGCACTGAGATTTGATTTTGCCACCTTTATCACCTCTCACGAACATTTTTTTGTGCGCCAATGTCCAATCCCAACTAAGATGACAACGGCGGACCTATTCCGACAATGAATAATAGTGTCCGACGGTGGAGAAGGGGGAGGAAGAGGCGACAATGGTGATATGACGTAGGTGATGATGAAGAACGTGATGAGGGAGGTCGACGGCTAATATGGTTTTTAAACTGATTTCTCTAATTTTTAAGGGATATTAAATGTTTTAAATCTTTACCATAATTAATTTTAGTCAAGATTACTATCATACCCTTACTTATTTAATAAATTAATAAATTAATTGCTAATTTGTGATTAGTGCATTTAGACACACAAAATTTGCTAAAAACATTTGAACCTATCTCTCTCTCTCTCTCTATATATATATATATATATTGTACTTGAACCTCTCTCTCTCTCTCTCTCTTTCTTTCTCTCTCTCTCACTCACTCTCTCTCTCTCTCTCTCTCTCTCTCTCTCTATATATATATATATATATATATATATATATATATATATGCTCTAGATCGGCTCGTGTATTATTTTGTACTTGTACAAGTTTTTGAAGGATTATTCGTGGAAAAAATAAAAATTCTACATGGTATATTAGCAAAATCCAAGCCTTCATCTCTCGCCTCAGGGTGCAAACCCTATCCATCTTTTACCACGTCCTTTTTCTCTCTCTCACGACCTAAACCTTAAGCATCAAACTCTCCTCTCTACCTCTTACATCCATAGCATGTAGAATCATTGGAGAAACCATGTAGAATTACAAGCATCAAAACCTTCATCCAACTCACTTTTGAATTTGACAAACTTAACTATGATGCATGACATGAATTGTTTGAGACTTAAGGGCTGTTTGGTAAGATCTGAATTTTTAAAAGATCCGAATTTCTAAGAGGGTCTGAATTTTTAACATCTGAATTGTGAACATGCTATTTGTTTAAAACCTCTGAATTTTTGTGCTTAATTATAAAAATGACCATTTTACCCTTCTGTATTATTTTTTGCAAAATTATAAAAACACCATACAAAATCCAAATTAGACATAAGTTAAAATTATACAATCAAACATAAATATTTGGCTAATGTATCCAATTATAGCAATCAAAATTGCTTTGTTTTAAATTGTATGCTAATATTGATCACAATACAGAAATTGATGTTAACAGATCTACACACAAATGCAACATTCCAAATAAACTTAAAAATTGCAGCAATAAACATCAGAACAATCACACTGAAAACTGCATCCATTATCATCCTCATCTTGATAGCATCTTGTTCATTATCTATCACCTATATTAACCAAACAAAGGATACATCAGATTTTACCATCCACATTGAACAATTTAAGAGAAAATATTAATAGATCTACATACAAACAATTTTTATCATCCAAGGTTTCTTTTCTGCAAAAAGATTCAAGACAAAGAAATTTAAATAAATCATAAGTTGAAACAATTTCATTCAGGCATTTTATCAAATGGTTCATATGCAAGTAAAATAAACATGGAAAAGAAGTCATAGCTGATAAATCAAACAAAACCAAACTAAAATCAACAACATTTCATCAAAATCAAACCAGAATCAACAACATTTCATCAAAATCAAGCCATATTTCAAACCAAACAAGACCATTGAATTCGATTTTTGATTTTCAATTTTGAAGGGAAAGAAGGAACAAACAAGACCATTGAATTCGAGGGAAAAAAGGAAGAAATAGAAGGAAGAAACGAACCTGCTGCAGTCGGCGGAAGAAAGAAAACATGCTGCAGTCGGTGGCGGTGGAGACTGGCGGCGTTGCTGGCGTCGCCGGTGGGAGAAGATGCGATGGGAGCAGATGATGTGGGAAGGAAAGAAAGGACGCGGTCGATCGGTCGATTAGGGCTAATAGAAAGCATGCGTTTTTTTTTTTTTTTTTAAACATCTGAAAAAATAAGAGCTGTTTTGAAGTTTAAGAGGTAAAGTATAATACTCAAACAAGCGCTCTGAATCTGAAATTTTAAGACATTGCCTCTTAATTTTGCAATTAAGAGGTAAACAAACGACCCCTTACTGCATGAGGTTCAATGTTCTTGGTCACATTGATGTCTTGGTGGTAGGCACATCTCCATGCAATCATGATGAGCCCAAATAAATTGAACTTGATTCTATTGTCAGGCTATGGATTTACAGCAAGCACTATCTCCAAATCACTCATTCGGATTATCCTCAAGAAAGGACTTATAGCTCGAGCAATATGGACGAGCCTCGGAGATCTCTTACAAGACAACAAAAAAAGCAAAAATCATCCAACTTGACAAACAAACGGTGAAACATTGTAATTGCGGACTTCTTCATCATCAAGTATGGCAAACGTATCAAAACCATGACTAATCTATCTCTTTGACACCATTGATGCTAGTGTCCCTAAAAAGAATTGTAACATTCATGATCCATGTATTAGCGGCAATTTTGATATGGGGTACAGACATTGTCAATATATTATATGTAGTTATCCAATATCTAACATTAAAAAAATATGTTATAATCTCTTTAATTGGGGGTACAATAACATGAAACATGTTTACAAATAATATTATATATATATATATATATATATATATATATATATATATAAAACATTTTTTTGGGGTATTGTAGTACCCCCAACGTCCCATCTAGCTCCGCCACTGCAATGTATTGTTTGAAAAGTACAGACACGTGGCTAATGTCACTCGTCAATGCTCTCCCCTTCCCTCATTCATGCAATCCCGCTCC